TTGGTTAAAAAATCTTGGTTCCCTAGCTCCCAGTGCAAAACAATTGATTTAAGACACAAAATGAGCTATACTGTCAGGCAAGATTTGTTGACATTTCGCACTGTCTTTCAAGTAATTTATAACTAGTACACAGTTCAAGGGAAAAAAATAATGATTAAAATTTAGATTCATCATAAATTAAAAAGTGATTCCTTTGGTTATAGCACATTAGAATATCTGGAGATTCCTTAAAAAACTAAAAATATAGCTATTATATGACCCTGCAATCCAATCCCGCTCTTGGGCACACATCCAGAGAAAAACAGTACTAAAGGATCCATGCACCCCAGTGTTCATTGCATCACTGTTTTCAATAGCCAAGACATGGAAGCAACCTAAATGTCCATTGAGGGAGGAATGGATAAAGAAGATGTGGTACATGTATACAAGAAAATGTTATTCAGCCATTAAAAAGGATGAAATAATGCCATTTTTAGCAATATGGATGGACCAAGAGATAGTCATATTGAATGAAGTAAATCAGATCAAGAAAGGGAAATATTATGACATCCCTTATATGCAAAATCTAAAAAGAGATTATACAGATGAACTCTACAAAACAGAAACAGACTCATAGGCTTAGAGAAAGAACTTACAGTTACTAGGAGGACGGATGGGAAGAAAGAATAGTCAGGGATTTGGGGATCAACATGTACACACTGCTAAACTCAAAATGGATAACCAGCAAGGTCCTACAGGAAAGCACAGGGAACCCTGCTCACAGTTGCATGGCAACCTGGATGGGAAGGGAATTTGGAGGACAATGGACACATGCATATGGATGGCTGAGTGCCTTCGCTGTCCACCTGAAACTATCGTAACATTGTTAAGCAGCTACATATTCCAATACAAAATAAAAGTTAAAAAAATAAAATAATGTCCTAAAAACTTTGGAAAAGAAAACACTTTGAATTTTCTGTACAATGATGTCAGAGAAAGTGAAAGCCTTCCTGCATTTTCCTATGCCTGATTTTGGCTAAAAAATCTTGGTTCCCTAGCTCCCAGTGCAAAACAATTGATTTAAGACACAAAATGAGCTATACTGTCAGGCAAGATTTGTTGACATTTCACACTGTCTTTCAAGTAATTTATAACTAGTACACAGTTCAAGGGAAAAAAATAATGATTAAAATTTAGATTCATCATAAATTAAAAAGTGATTCCTTTGGTTATAGCACATTAGAATATCCGAACACAGTAACTATTTGTATTTTAAAATATGAAGCGTCAGTGCAAAGCAATATCTTTACATAACTCTTGAATTTGATAGCATGGGCTTTGGTCTAAGAAGAAGTACATTGTAAGTAGAAAATATCACTACACGAATGTATATTTATATGATTAAATGTTGAAAACATTTATCACAATAAGTTTTTTGAATGGACAACCATAAATATATTCTTGCTACCTATTCAAAGAAAAGTATTGTTGCTACACTGTTACTATCATGGTGAGTTCTAATCAGGATTGATCAGTAACAATAAAAATGAACAATTTTAAGATTTAGTAACTCTGCCCCAGCTCCTATTTTGACATTTTTAAATTAAAATATTTTCATCTCAAACAAAATGTTATGTACTGTAGTTTACAATGTAGAGAAAAATTCAACGGGTGATAACTGATGAATTCATCACAAATTTCTGGATCATTCTGAGTCTTCCATCATTAGTCAAGATTCTTCCCATTAACCATGCCTAAAACTTTTTCAGGAACCTGCTCCAAAAAGACTCTTCTTGTTAAAGTATGACTTAAATCCCTCCTTAGAGAAGGTAAATATTTTCCTTAATAAAAACTTTTTTAATTACACAAATAGACTTCATTCTCCTACCCATCTTGGAAAAGCCCATGTGAAATTTCTGTTTTATAGGTTTAAAAAACAGTCAAATATTAGCAATTTCATATAGTTCAACCTAATGTTTCCTAGACAGGCTCAGTGCTCCTCATAAAAGTTATTTGTAAAACAAATATGCTGAAGTCTAATTTTCCTGCATCCCTTCACTAGATTTAAAATGGAAAGTGCTACTGGTAGGCTATTTTCCAACTGTAGAAATTGTATATTCCATGCTGTAAACTTTTCTGAGGCAATTCTTGATATCTAAGCTCAACATTTCACTGAACATATTTTTCTGGAACCAGTTATAAAAATCTAAGGAGATTTGCAAAACTAAAAACAATACCACTATTTTAACTTATTTTTGCTTTTGGAAAGCATTATTTACTATGGAATATACAGGTAGTAGGGCTTCCCTGGTGGTTCAGTGGTAAGGAATTTGCCTACAAAGCAGGAGATGCAGGAGATGTGGGTTCAATCCCTGGGTAGGAAAGATCCCCTGGGGAAGAAAATGGAGACTCACTCCAGTGTCTTTGCCTGGAGAATCCCACGGACAGAGGAGCCTGGTGGGCTGCAGTCTATGGGATCACGAAACAGTCAGACATGATTTAGCAGCTAAACAACAACAATATAGTATTTGCTTTGGAAAATATGCTTTTATGCTAATTGCCCTGGGTATGTAATTATTTTTAAGTGAATTAATAAATATTTTAACTTCTCAGTTTTAAGATATAATGGGGTAAATATCAATTGATATAACCTACAAAAGTCAAAGTTCTGTGGAGTTTTCAATAATTTTTAAGAGTGTAAAATGTTTCTGGGACAAAAAAGTTTGAGAACCACTGGGTTAATTAAAGAGATAAATCAGAACAAGAGAAGAGAAAAAACAGATATAAGACATATTATAAACCAGACCATTCATTCCGTGCTAAGGGACCTGCTTCAAATAAGGGAGTATCTAACTGGCAGAATAGCTGAGGACCTCATCTCATTTCTCACTTGGGTGGGGTTAGAAGGGGAGTCAGGACTGAGCACAGAGATTTTCACAGGCATATTTCTAAGCCTAATCCTATGCAATTTTTTTACCATGCACAGGTGCTGCAGAGAAACCTCTGGGCAAGAACAATCCTATCCATTAGTGCGGCACAGCAACAGGTATTCTCTTGCATGACTCATTGATTTTAGATATAATTTCAAGGGTCATCAGGTTCTTTTTCCTTATCATAGCAATCTTGAGAGGTTAAGAAAAACAGAGGTGTTTTACTCTCAGTTTACAGGTGGGGAAACAAAGACGGGTTTCAGGGTCTTACCCTAAGGCACACAGACTGTGTTGGAGCACGTTGTGGAATTTAAGGCACCTGCTTCTAAAAACAGTACTTTATCCTCCTAGCTCCCTGTCTTTAAGATAGTTTTTTAACACTAGAAACTTTTTAAAGTGAAATCCTACATGGGAGTCTCATAAGAGAGCACAAGAAACAGAACTGTTGCAGTGCAGAGAGCTGGAGGATCTAGATTCCCGCCCGTTTTGCTTCCCTTCAGCCAGTTCTCTCCCTTTGCTCTCCGCATCCCTCACCCTCTCTCCCCTTGGGACACCAGTCTGCCCAAGACCTTCTCTTTTTTATTTTCCCCCTTTACACCAATATCCTGCTTCCATTACTCTGCCTTTTTTAGGCTTCTACTTAAATATGCTAACTGTACTTCTTCAAATGCATGTATTCTTGTAAAACAGATCTTGTTTTTTGTGCGTATGTGCTTAAATTACACAAATGGTATAATGCTATGCATCACACAAATCAAGTTCTCCTTTTTACTTTTGTCCTTTAACATTGTTCTACTCAGATTTTTATCTCTATGTCTAGCTTACTTTTGTGGGCATATGGCTCTATCATATATATTAATATGTCATATTTTACTTGTCTATTCTTCTATTGATGAATCCAACATCCATCAGAGAAAACTGAAGATGTTTTTGACATATCAACTTGGGGTCAAGGGGAGAGTTTCTCTGGGATAGTCACTGAGTTGCTGGGTATACAGACCCAATCTTACCAAATGCTACCAAACAGCCCTGCGGAATGGACCTCCCACCACAGATCACAAGAGCTCCTCTCTATACATTAAAACTTGCCACTATTTGCAATAGCTAGGATGTAGAAGCAACTTAGATGTTCATCAGCAGATGAATGGATAAGGAAGTTGTGGTACATATACACAATGGAATACTACTCAGCTATAAAAAGGAATACATTTGGGTCAGTGCTAATGAGGTGGATAAACTTGGAGCCTATCATACAGAGTGAAGTAAGTCAGAAAGACAAATATCATATATTACTGTATATATATGGAATCTGGAAAGATGGTACCAACAATCCTACATGCAGGGCAGCAAAGAAGACACAGATGTAAAGAACAGACTTGTGGACTCAGTGGGAAAAGGAGAGGGTGGGATGATTTGAGAGAATAGCGTTGAAACATACACTTTCCCATATGTAAAATAGATAACCAGTGGGAGCTTGAAGTATGACGCAGGGTACCCAAAGCCAGTGTTCTGTTACAACCTGCAGGGATGAGGTGGGGAGGGAGGTGGGAGGAGGGTTCAGGATGGAGGGGACACATGCATGCCTATGGCCAATTCATGCTGAAGCATGGCAAAACCATCCCAATATTGTAAAGCAATTATTCTCCAGTTAAAGTAGATAAACAAATTTTTTAAAACTTGCTGCTTTCCTTTTCTAATATCTCATATGCTGTTGAGTGTTAGGTGTCATCTCATTATTGTTCTAATTAACATTTTTCTGATAACTATTGATAGCAAGCATTTCTTCAAATGTCTGTTAATTTTTTGAGTTTTCTTGCCTATGAAATTGTGTACACCTTCTGTGCATTTTACTACAGACTTTTTCTTTTTCTTTCAGATTTCCTGTTTTCCATTGCAGGCATTAATTCCTTGGGTGTTTTAGTTGTTTCAAACATCTTTGCCCAATATGTGAACTTTGTTTATTGCATCCTTTATTCAACAGGACTCCTTCATTTTGCTATTGTCACATTTCTCTCTCCCTATTATTTTTCTTTTTTAACTTTCTGCTTCTTATTTTTCAATTTTATTTGAAAAATTTTTATTATTTTTTTTTATAATTTCCATTTTATTGTCGTTTCAGAGAAACCAATATTTCTTCAGTCTTTAAGGACTTGGATCCTTACATGGGCTTTGGTGGAGGACGTGGGGCAGCACCCGCAGGTCTAAATCGGGGTGGAGGTGTTCGGTCCTTCCAGGCTTCCCGAGAGCGATTCCTGACTACCTTGCTGTGAATGGCACAACTCACGCAGTAATGTAGTTTCACATACAGCTTGGGAAGCACATAGGCATCGAAAACACTGGCTTCGGAAATGTCCCTGATGGCTGCGGCCTCTACGATGTTTCGAATGACGAACTTCTTAATGGCCTTATCCTTGGGCACGCATCGGGCACAGTTGGTGCAGCAAATAGGCTGCACGTGGCCGCAGCCTTTTTTGGCGCGACCGTTGTTCCTTCTTTTCTTGGTCTTCTTTCCATTCTTCCACTACAGTCCAGGCTTTCAACCCTCCCCGCAATCTCAGAATCGGCGCCTCTCAGTCTCCACCCGGCCCCATTCTATTCCCCATGCGTTAGCACTCACCATCTTGGAAGCTGAAAAACTATTTTTGTTGATCCCTAGGTCACAGAGATAGACCTCTCAACATTTTATTCTTTGTTTTATGGCTTAATCTTCACATTTAAATCTTTAGTTTATTTGGTGTCCACCTATGTGTATAGTATAAGGTAGGAACCCAGCTTTAGTTTTTTGCTTTTACTGAGCTAATTTTTGGAACACCCACTGTCTGTCCTTTCCTTGTGGTGCCTTATTTATCATACATCATATATTTTAATTCAGTCACTGCTTCCATGTTTCATTTGTAAATTTTATTCATTTACTGTTACATTCTGGAGAATGAAATGGCAACCCTACTTTAGTATTCTTGTCTGGAAAATTCTATGGACAGAGGAGTCTGGTGAGCTACAGTCGAGGGGGTTCCAAGAGTCAGACATGACTTAGTGACTAAACAACCACTGTTAGATTAGAATGTTTTCCCACATTTCATAGTTTTAATCATTCTATATGTTTTTAATTTTTATTTTTCTTTCTTCATTCTATTAGCAAGTACAAAGTTTCTTCCAGCCTTAAAATCAGGCATGCACATACTCTCCTTCTATTCATACCTCATCACTGGTTTCTGGTTTAGATGCTAAGTTGTGTCTGACTCTTGCGACCCCATGAACTGTAGCCCACCAAGCTCCTCTGTCCATGGGATTCCCCAGGCAAGAGTACTGGATTGGGTTTCCATTTCCTTCTCCATTATACATCATTAGTATTATGTTTACCTGACTCTAATAATTTTTTAAAAGCATCTATATCTTACCTCCTCCCTTAAAATAAACAAATTTTCAGTCTCCTCCTTTATCCCTATTCTAAAATGCTAAGTCTAGGTTTTTAATTCTTCATTGTTTAGGTATTATTTGTGTGTGTTTCATTTGTCTTGCTTTAAAAAAAAAAAGACAAAACTAGCACTCAGCAAGATATTCACTGACACTCTTACTTTTCACTTATTGCTACCTCCTGTATTTATTTCTCGTTATTATTAGGAGTACACCCTCTCTAGTATATTCACAAAGATGTCTTTGTGTGATACATTTTCTAATTCCTGTGTGCATGAGAATATTATATCTTTACATTTAAATGAGAGTTTGTATATTTTTTAAAATCCAGTTTTCAAGTTATTTGACCTCAGTATTTTAAAATAAGGGCTTCTTTGCCTTTATATCCCTTTATTCATCTTTCTTTCTATTTGTTGCCACTGAAGGCCTAATGAACCCATAGAGACACAGGAGGAAATAAAGGATGGCGAAGGGATGGGGAGGGCTTCCCTGGTGGCTCATGAGAGCACATGGGGTGAAAGTAACACAGATTTCAGAGTTACAGAGACATGGATTTGATTTCAACATATCAGAGCATTACCTGGAGAGAAAAAAAAAAATCCACAAACCAGTGCAGTGAACAGGGTTTATTAACTCAAGAGAAATAAATCCCCCAGTTTTTCAATATGTTATGATAATCCATGAACTTCCTCACTATATTCATGAGTTGTATTCAAGAATCCACTTGAATTTCAGGAGCTGATGGTCAGATCCAGGTGTTTCACATGACTTATTATACCTAGGGATTTTGTGGCAAGAAACTGAAAAAATGTACATACAAAAATTGAGGAAGGTTTCTCCATAAGTTCATTACTTAGTTAATATGAATTTTGATGCTTTGCTGTACGGTACATGGATGTTAATACCAGATTTTCAATGAATACCATACTTTTATCATTGTAGGATGCTATGCATTTGATTCAATGTAGTCTGATATTATTACACTACTTCCTGGTTTTTGTTGTGCATTCACCTCTTACATCTTTGTTTATCCTTTTCCTTTCAGCCTTTCTCAGTCACTTTGATACAGATATGTCTTTTATACATCTAATATATCAGGAAACATGGAATCCATGAATACAGTGATGAACACACTAAACACATGCCTGCCTTCATTGATCCAATGTTCCCCAGAAACAGCAGACATGAAGGCAGGTACCTCACATCCAGAAACTAGCACAGTGCCTGGCACAAAAGAAGACAGGAATAAATACATATTGATCAAATGAACTTCTTTTAAAAAAATAAATAATTACTAACGATTTGAAATGTTTGTCCACACAAAAACCCCCACATGGATTTTTATGACAACTTTATTCATAACTACATCTTTCAGGAGGTAAGTAGGTAAATAAACTGTGGTAGACTCAGGCAATAGAATATTATTCAGCACTAAACAGAAATGCCTCTTAAGAAATCTGCATGCAGGTCAGGAAGCAACAGTTAGAACTAGACATGGAACAACAGACTGGTTACAAATTGGGAGTATGTCAAGGCTGTATATTGTCACCCTGCTTATTTAACTTAAATGCAGAGTACACCATGAGAAATGCTGGGCTGGAGGAAGCACAAGCTGGAATCAAGATTGCCAGGAGAAATATCAATAACCTCATATATGCAGATGACACCAACCTTATGGCAGAAAGTGAAGAAGAACTAAAGAGCCTCTTGAAGAAAGTGAAAGAGGAGAGTGAAAAAGTTGGCTTAAATCTCAACATTCAGAAAACAAAGATCATGGCATCCTGTTCCATCACTTCATGGCAAATAAATGGGGAAACAGTGGAAACGGTGGCTGACTTTATTTTTTTGGGCTCTAAAATCACTGCAGATGGTGACTGCAGCCAGGAAATTAAAAGACGCTTGCTCCTTGGAAGGAAAGCTATGACCAACCTAGACAGCATATTTAAAGCAGAGACATCACTTTGTCAACAAAGGTCCGGCTAGTCAAGGCTATGGTTTTTCCAGTAGTCATGTATGGATGTGAGAGTTGGACTATAAAGAAAGCTGAGCACAGAAGAATTGATGCTTTTGAACTGTGGTGTTGGAGAAGACTCTTGAGAGTCCCTTGGACTGCAAGGAGATCCAACCAGTCCATCCTAAAGGAGATCAGTCCTGGGTGTTCATTAGAAGGACTGATGTTGAAGCTGAAACTCCAATACTTTGGCCACCCAATGAGAAGAGCTGACTCATTGGAAAAGACCCTGATGCTGGGTAAGACTAAGGGCAGGAGAAGGGATCGACAGAGGATGAGATGGTTGGATGGCATCACCAACTCAATGGACATGGGTTTGGGTGGACTCCGGGAGTTGGTGATGGACAGGGAGGCCTGGCGTGCTGCGGTTCATGGGATCGCAAAGAGTCGGACACGACCGAGTGACTGAACTGACTGAACTGAAACAGAAATGAGCTATTAAGCCATGCAAAAACATCAAGGAAACTTAAATGCACATTGTTAAGTGAAAAGTCAATCTGAAAAGCCTACAGAGTGCATAATTCCAACTATATGACATCCTGGAAATGACAAAACCAAGGAGACAGTAAAAAGATTTGTGATTGCAGGGGGGTGGAAGGATGAACAGGCACAACACAGAAGACTTTCAGGGCAATGTGAACACCCTGTATATGACACTATACTGGTGGATACATCTCATATATACTTCCCCATCAAATTTAGGACACCAGGAGTCAACCACAAGATAAACTACAAACTCTGGAGGATATGATACATCACTGTACCACTGTGGTGCTGGATGTTCATAGTAGGTAGTTATGAATGTGCATGGACAGGGGTATATAAGCACTGTCTGTACCTTCTCCTCAGTTTTGCTTTGAACCCAAGACTACTATAAAAAATGTAAAGTCTTGATTTTAAAGGGGATTACTTAATCAAAATCCTACTAAATTCTTTGAAGGAGAATTACACAGAGCTAAAGAAACATTTTAAAGAGAGACCTAATCTAGGGACCAGAAATCTCCCCTGATAAGTGACTCTTTAGTTCAAGGATCCCACACAATAAAGCAGTGGAAAGCATTCTATAAGAGGGAACAGAATTTTTTCTGTTTTCATTTAGATATATTTTCTAATTTTGTATTAGAGAGTAACATTTACAAAGCAAGTAAATACATAAAGTGGAACAAGTGCTATAAATAAAATTTCTATCTCCTATAGGCCCTATGGTAAATAAAAGAAGCTAAGGGCAAGCAATCAAGAAAGGCTCCCCCAAAGTACCATTTAATGGATTGTTTATGTAAATATAAAATGAATAAATAGAGCTTTATGAATAAATTAGGTCTTTTCATCATTCTTAAAATGAGATTTCCATTTTCAGAGTTGCTATGAAAATTAAAGAATAGTTAAATTAAACTGCTTTAAATCTCGTTTCAAACGAGGCAATAAATAATCACATAAAAAATATGTAAAGCTCCTAGTACAATGCCTACTATACATTAGGCATTGAATAAATTGTTGTTGTTGTTGTTGTTGTTGTAAGCAGATGAGTAAAAATGCAGTTTCTTGTGTAGAATGCCATAATACATATGGGACTATAAGGCTCTACTGAGGATTAAGTTAAATCAGAAAATGTGCATAAAGCATATATTACTGTTTGGAATTTAATAGGTATCAGAATTATCATGTTTCACAGATAAAAATACAAAAATAACTGTTAGGTATGTATACAGATGGGCTTCCCAGGTGGTGCTAGTGGTAAAGAACACTCCTGCCAATGCAGGAGACCATAAGAAATGCAGGTTCAATCCCTGGGTCAGTAAGATCCCCTGGAGGAGGGCATGGCAACCCACGCCAGTATTCTTGCCTGGAGAATCCCATGGACAGAGGAGCCTGGCGGGCTACAGTCCATAGCGTCACAAAGAGTCGGACGCAACTGAAATGACTTAGCACGAGCATGACGACATGCATATAGTCATAGATAGTGGTAGCATAAAGAAATTAATGTGTTGGAGAAATAAGTCAACATGTACTTGGAATTGTAAGGCATCCCTGGCAAAGCTTCCAGAAGAAACCAGGATCCACTGAAATGAGAAGAAATTGAATGAGGAAAGAAGACC